TGTTTAATTAATGCACTGAAGACCCACTCAACAGGAAGAAAATAATGCTCTGGTACTGTAAACCTAGGCAACTCTCGGAGGTTAGTGAGGTCATAGACCTTAGAAAAGAATTGACTTCGGCCATTGCTAGAAAAGCATAGTTCCTCAGTATATCCTAAATCTTATTCTTACACCACAGATGAACAGAGCTACCATCCCTTATCAAGAAAAGCCTCCTTTCCCCATCTCGACTATCCAGTTCCCTCAAGTCTTCCTCTCACCTCCCCTTTTCCCCTCCTTCTTTCCTTCCACCCTCCCTTCTCCCCCACCTCCATGATCCCAACACCAGTTCCTAAGGCAAATGCTATTCTGAGAGAATAAAATGGAGGAAAACAAAAACAAATCGAAATATGTAATAACATAAAAATATTCTAGCTTTAATTTTATGTCATGAAATAATTATTAAAGTAAATATAAGTTTTGCTGGTGCACTTAAGAATTGTAAACCTCACATTATTATTATTCTGACAGTTACATTTTTAATGCTATTGTCTGTCCCAAACATCTTAGGACATCGGTCTTAGGTGTGGAGAGAGAAAAAGGCCAGAGAAAAACAAATATTCTTATGGTTTAACAAACAAAATAGAACATAAAATCATATTTATGATGTTAGAGTCAGTATGTAAAAATTGTCTATGCATGTAAGAAGTGAAATGCCAAGAGGTTTCTTAAAGATTGTGATTTTCCAGAGTCAGGTGAATAGATAAAGAGAATATGTCATACAAATATAGAATTTTGTTCAGCCATAAAGAAAAATAAAGTTATGACATCTCCAGAAAAGCGGAACTGGAGATCGCCATAATAAGCCAAATAAATCATATCCAGAAAGACAGATATGGCATCTTTTTCATTAATATATGCAATCTATATATTTAAAAATATGTGCATATATACAATTATAATATTTATGCATGAAAAGAAAGCAGAAAATGGACTATTTAGGAGCAGGAAGGAAACCAGCAAAAGCAGAAAAGGAGAACAAAAGAAGAGAATGGACACTGAATATGGGCAGAGCATCTGACATACATGTACAGAAGGGCTGCAATGAAGCATCATTTTATATAACGAATATACCCTGAAAACAAAAGGGAAACTATCTCATGAATAAAAGGAAATAAATATTCAAAAAGGATTGTAAGACTTTGACTTTTTGTCCTAATTTCTATTGTGATTTATATTTTATTTATGAATAAATTATTTTTAAAAGAAGGCACTACAACTGGGTTGCAAAACCCCAAAGCCCATTGAATTACCAGATTATTTATTTCCTTCTTAAACTGACTCAATTTCCAGAGTTCTTGTTTCACCAAAAATTTCATTTGTAAGATATCCTGAACTTTTCTCATTGTTCATTGTGGAAGCTTTTATAGAGAAAGAAGGAAACCTGGGCAACCACAATGATGCGCCTCCTGCTACATCCTGCCCTTTCTCTGCACATTTGGTCCATTCAGGCTGCTTTCATGCTCACACTGGAACCATTTTAGCCAACTAAGAGGTCCCTTGAAGCAAAATGTCCTTGTGATCAAAGGAGCATGGAGTTATTTAAGAAAGAAGCTCATTTTCCTTAAAATTAAGTGTATTGATGCTCTTAGCAAACCCACAAGTCAGAGAAAATTCATACTTAGAATCATCTACTCATATTGTCCTTATTCTTCATACCTCTGCCTTATTTAATTATAAGTCATGAGTAGTATAAGAAGAATACATGGGGCAGACATGTGGTTTAACAATAGCACAAATGTTCCAATGTCCAGCAAGCAGGTCAATGAACTGTTTCTTCAAAATGTTGTATAAGCTTATTCCCTGACACCCATTCTTTAACACTGCTCTGGCCACCAGCTGTCACCTGGTTCCACCTCTGCTTCCTTTCTTAAGCTAAAAACACCCATCAAGCACCCACTTAGGGGATGTTTCTTAATATATGGAGGCAGTGAAATGGCTCTCCTTCTCTCTGTCCTTGCTAAATAATACTTATCCCATTTGTTATTTTTAGTCAATATAGAATTCAGGTGGGGGGTGTAGAACTCTAAGACATAGAACAGTGGATATATAGCTTCAAATACATTCAAGATTGAATTTATTTTAATGTTTTTTCTCTGAAAGATTAAAGATTATATATTCATGTGAGACCTCATTAACTATAGAACGACTAGTAGAAAAATAACCAAATGTCCAGAAAAGACACATGAGGATCAAAACAAAAACCCTGTTATAAGGAATCCCAAAGCCAGAAAAGATATAGTGTAGCTTTTGACCCCCAAATCAGAAAATGGCATAACTCTCCCAGAGTCTCTCACAGGATGGTTGTATATTTTTTGTTGCAGTCAAGACACTGGGCTGACTTTTGCTATGCTAGGTGTTGCAGCTCAGGGCAAGAGCAGGCAGAGATGGCAGTTAGCCCAGAACTGGAAATAAAACATGTTAGTTCAAAATCACCTAGTTAGTAAGCACACTATGACAATCACAGGGTTTTTGTTATTGTTTTTTTTAAGCCCGCCATGTGTTGGTTAACTATGCATCAGGCACAGGATCACATACTCTGTCTTATAGAAGACAATCTATAAGGATCTGAGATACCTATTTTGACAGCTGGGCACTAAAAGTCAAAAGACAAACCATTTTTCTGAGGTTACTCAGAATATGGCTAACCTATCCTCAACCCTAGAGCTTTCTAACTTTACAGTCTCCCCAATCTTAGCCATGGCATCACACAAACTTTGCACAGAATTTATATGCTAGGGAGGACAGGTTCCTACCTATTGGATGCGATGACAAAAAGTTGAAGTAACCTGTGGGGATTACAGAGAAGTAAGAAAGTAGAGCCCAACCTCCAGGGAAAGCAGAGGCAGGGTGAACAGAAAGCACAGTGAGATCTCACTCGTGGTGGTTCTGAGTGTGCACCATTAGGCTTTGTTTCTAGAAGGAGTGAGGCGGGGAAGGAGGGAACACATGCTGGAGGAACCAAATGGAGGCTAGGGAGCTGCAAGGTCTCACAGAGGATGGGGCTCAGGTGCAGCGTGGCCCTCCGGAGAACAGGGCACTCACACATAGGCACACAAAACCATGAACGAGGAGCAGGATGATTGTGGGAACAGAATCACAACCCAAAGCCAATCTTGTTCTTTGACAAGTCCCCAGAGTGTGGTTAGCTAGCTTGAGTTGTTTTAACCCCCGAGCCTGCTTATGAATAAATATTCAATGCCTCATGTTCTAGAGAGGATTGAACAATTACAAGTGATCTGACTTCCCAGAAGCATTTGTACAGGATTGTTCCTTTGTTTGCACAGAGCTCTTCAAAAGCTTAATTCTACATGGCCACATGACTTTGAGTGTGTGGGTTTTCAGAACGCGTCCAGGGTTGTGTATTTAATTAAGGGATGACTTTATGACTTTAGCTGCTATAGCCTTGATCTCTATACTTACTCTTAAAGAACATTGCAAAGTTATTACTTCAGCATCATGCTTTCTGACAGAGACATGGTTTACTTGTTTCTGAAAGACCGGATTATTGGGTGAAGTCATGTCTGATTTCCTTAATTATGTGAACAATCTAGTTTAAAATGAAACAGGGTGAGGTGTCTGAGAATTTGTGTCAACTTCAGCCCTGGAAACGGATTTTGGCCATGTAACAGATTCACTTTATATTTGTATCTTTAAAATCTTACAGCAACTTTCCTTTCATGTTACTAACGAGAATTCCGAAGTGGTGTTGTAAGAGTTGGTAAAAAAAAGAAAAAAAATGCAATAAGGAGTCTTCGTTTGTAGCATGTTCGAGCTCACTGCCTGTTGGTTGCACCCGCAGAATGTCTAGAGCAACACTGTTTGCTCTCCATTGTTTGTGTACCTGCAAATTCTTTCCAGGAAGCTTGTTGAAGCATTCAGAATGTGTGCTGGTTTAGAACACGAGCTCATGCAGCTAGATCAGGAATTGATACTAGAATAAGACACCATTGTTTTGCTGCTTTCTTAGTTTTTGGCAATTTTGAACACATGGCTTCCAAGGTGTACGTTCAATAGAGCATAGGAGGCAGACAGCGGTAGAACTGATGGGAGCTTATTAAAGGTGCTTATCTAGGAGAAACGAACACAGAGAGCAAGCCTTTTAGACTCGATAGCAAAAGGGCTGAAAGGCGGTGTTGAAATCCTAGAGCTGGAAAGGGCTATAAACACATGCTAATTGGAAGAGTGCGCAGTAGTTTCTGAGCATGGTGGATAGACTGGAGGGAAGAGTGGAGAGGATGAAGGTTTGGTGAGTGAATGGCTGGTGCTGGAAGTGGGTAGGACTGAGACTCACCAGAGCATCTTTAAATGATGAATGAGAGGTCTTTGCTTTAGAAAAGAATTCTCTAGAGATGACTGGAAAATGGAGTACTAGAGGAATGAGCAATAGGGAGAACAAACAAAGAGGAATGAAGAAGAGAGGGGCTGAACATGTGGCCCAGCAAACATTACTTTGTGTGTGTTCCTGCTTCCTCGTATTCCCATACCTTGCTCCTCATTTATTTTTTACTTTTTGCATTTACACATGGAAGTTTATTCAGCCATAAGGAAAAATGACTGCCACAGATGTATGTGACATTGTTTGACAATTGTAAGGCCAAGGTCCCAAGAAAGACAGCCAGTATGTGGCTGGGATGTGTTTGATTTTGAAAACTACTCTAGGTTCTTTGTTTTAAAGTTCTACTGAAAAAGAAGATTTGTCTGTTTCTATTTCTCAGTTTACTTTATAATTCAGATGCAATATTTTTCTGACGAAACAAACAAGCAGGAAAGCGAACTTTCTGGAGAGATTTGTATTTTATTCAGATGGGAAAAAAAGGTAACTTGGCAGGAAACGTGAGTCAATAGGGATGAGCACAGGGGCTGTCAGTGAGGACAACCGAACCTAGCCCCGATGCCACCTTAGAACATCAGCAAAGGGGAGAAGTTCACCAGAGCCCACACGCCTGCACACCATGAAGGCATCATCGTTCTTTCTTTGTCCATGGGGAAGTTAGCAGTGCCCTTCATGAAGAAACTGAATTTTTCCATTACTCCTCCTGAGGGAAGACATGATGAACAAGACTCAGCAAGATCAGGAACATATAAAAGTTGAAAAGACGTACAAAAACTGTGAAGTAGCAGTGGGACCTATTTTACGGATAAGAACAAGGCCATGGAGTAGAACCTCTTTCCACAGAAAGGAAGATTCGAGAACATCGTGCTGTTGCCACAGAGGAGAGGTTCTCTGCTTCAGTGATAACTCTATCCCAATCTATTTCTTCCATGGATACCAGAGGCAAGAAGATCATCCAAGGCATTGAAAGAACAAGAAGACTCCACAAAGGGAGTTGAGGTAGCCTGTCTCTCAGCTTTTCATGTTCAGCAAGGCAATGATGGAGCTGGATATTGCAATACCAAGGAAGACCTTCACCATGTTCTTCTCAGGGGCTTGTGGCCTTGAACATGCCTAGTTTCATGGCCCAGGACTATCTATGCATCTGCATCAAAAAATCTTTCCTTCTGTGAAAGAAAGCTTCCAAAGCAGAAATGTGTGTGGACATGTTCTCTGGGCTCAAGTCGTATTTGTTATTCTAATTTGCTAAGAAAACCACAAAGGTGAGAACACAGGACATAAGTGACCCAATGCTGGTGGGTAAAAGATAGTTAACAATGATGGAAAGTGAATTTGATATAAGATAGTAAGTGCTAACTTTCACCTTACACTTTACAAGGGGGATATCTACCTAATTACTATTCTCCCCAATACTGTGCAGGTCAAACAAAATACCTAAACAAAACATGTCCATGGGATACTGATACAATAGTAACAGCCTGTATACTCTATTTTAGAAAAAAAAGCAAACCAATAATTTTCATTGCCTTTTCTCCCTTAAGACTACTGATCTTTACTTAGAGCCTGTGGCAACTTGAGAATAAAGTCCAGATGAATTAAAGTTGTTTAGTATTTTAGAAACAATGCGAGATAGTGGATTCCAGATATTCAATTATTCATGAACCTTTCTTTATATAGGAAGTTGTGTGGAACTCCACTTTTTTTTTAATTCTTTTTTTTTGTTTTGTTTTTCTTTTTTTTTTTATTGAGAAAAGAAAAAAAACATAAACAAAAATCAAGTTTCCACCTCCTCCCAGCCTCCCATTTCCGGGAGAAGGGTAGGAGGAGGGGGAGAAGGGTGGGAGGAGGGGGAGGGAAATGGAACTCCACTTTTAAAATAATAAAACTTGTACTTGGGTTTGGGGGGCATCCAAATGGCCACTTTAGCCCATTTGGTGACTCCTGACTTCCTTCTCAGTTGCAGGACCAAATATGAGCTTGAAAACACATGCCTTTCTAGAAGTACAATAATTAGAGATATGTGCTGGGATAGGAGCTGTTTGGCAGAATAGCTGGCCCAATTCTGGTCTGATTCAGCTACAGTTGGAGTTTTCTTCCCATGCTCTGTTCTGCATGGAAATAAGTAGAGTATAAAGAGTTAAGAGGGATCCTGGGAAGGGGAAGGATTGAGTAGAGAACATTGTTCCCAGTCCACTTTGTGTTTGATACTCACAAGATCTCTGTACACAGCTTGCATTTATTCCCGTAGGTGATATAGTCTGAACCACAAACTGGTATGTTTTCAATGGGGCAGGGGATGGCTACCACTGGGTACTTCTTGTATATGTCACAGTCCACCTGGTTAGACACAAGAGAAAGTCCTGGTTTTCTCAAATACAGTAAGTATCACTACGTTGGATCAACTAGACGACAGGCTGCAAGAGCTGAAGTCTCGCTCATCTCAGATGTTCTGATGCTGTTAAAGCTGTTTGTATAGTGGCATTACCACCATGGCAAATACCAGCAGTGCCAGCACCCTTCCTCCTTTTTAATGCCACACTTGGTGAGCAATCACTGATCATTTCTGTGCCAGATAGTTAACTTTAGTGTTACATGATCTCCTATTAGTTAATATTTAGGACACTTGAGTAAGAGAAGTTCTATTATAATGTCTCTTTTCAACTGGGGAAAAGGTTTCTTCATCTGTGTTTGTCTCCTCTGTTGCTTTCCCTAAACACACGACATGAACTATCTATCGATCTTTCACAAATATTTGTTGACTAAATAATAGCCAATAGAAATTGAAATTAAAATTTAGTTCAACATACTTACCGTTGGTGAAGGGTGACTGGTCACTTCTGGAAGACAAATACAATGGAATATTAAAAATAAAGCAAAGCCTGGAATTTTATTATTCAATGTAGCCTTGTCTTTCAGTCAAAAGTTTCATTTCTTTTAGCAATGAATCTCAGCACAGACCCCACCACAGCTGCTGGCTTAGGAACTTGAGTGGCCAATGGATAAGCCCTTGAATCAGGCAGGTAAATTTATATATTCTTTCTGGAACTTATGGGAATGGGAGACTTGATAAAGTCAGTTGTCACTGACTCCTTATCATTGATATACTTTCTCTATTAAACAACATAAAGAAATGAAAAGAGCTCCACATGGTGATGCACACATTTAATCAAAGCACACTGGAGGCAAAAGCAGGCAGATCTCTGTAAGTCCAAAGACAGCCTGGTCTACATAGCAATGGGACTACATAATAAAACCCTATCTCAAAGAAACAAACAGAAAAGTAAATGAATGTCTTTAATGTGTTAGACATTAATTTTAACTAAACCTCTTTTCACAATTTAAAGGCTAGATTGTTAACTTGAACCTTCTGGAGCAGTATGTTCTATTCCAATCCTACTATATGGATCCACGAAGACACCTAGGACTCTGCATCTCCGCTCTGAGGAGTAGCCGTCTACTGACATGGTTGTGTAAGTCTGTATGTAATACAATTTATAAAGAAATTGGGACTCTTTATGTCCATGGGTGCCAAGTATGAATGCTTTCAAGGGATGGCATCAATTCCCACTCCCTCAAAGTACAGATAGAACCGTGATCCTTCTCCCTGGCCAGAACTGTTTCTTTCCCTTTAAGTCTGCTTGACCCGATATTTATATCAACAACTTAGCTCCTAGGGGAAAATATATAGAAAAGAAGCAACCTTCAGGATCATAGGTGACACTGACTACACCCAACTCACCCAAGCTGTGGCAGACACAGGTTGCCATGAAGAACAGAATGAGGCCCCCAACGACCTTCATGGTGGAGAGAGCCGTGATGAGGAGGCTAGTGATCTGAGATCCACTTGAAGCTGAATGTGCTGTGCACTAGGAGAGGGGTCATATTTATATGGAAAGCTTTGGTTTCTCCACCTTTCCTGTGAGCTCATCCAAAGTCAGTGCTGGACCCGAGAAGCTCTCCAAGCATGTCACACACCCCTAGTGGAGCTGCAGTACCTGTCAGTTAATTGCTGCTTCCCTCCTCACCGGCAGGGAGGTCACTTGAGGTAACGAGTATTTTTCTGTCTGTTGCATAAGTGAAGACTGTTACTTACACTCAGCTATTCACAGAAGAGATTTAGCCTGGGTTTCTTAGCTATGAGACAAAGGAAAATCACCAGCTTTGTTTATTTTACTCAAATGGAAGGTCATGGTTATACCTACATTTAGTTTAGACTCCTGAGAAAACAAAGTTTCCTTTTCAAAGCATGCTGGGGTCTGGCAAACCTAACAACAGTTTTGGCATTTATGAGGCTTGGAGAAAGATGTTGGCATTTCCTAGAGATGAGACACTGGACAAGTTGTTGATGAAGCTGTGGACTTTTACCAGAAAGGAAAGCCTGGTCATGCAACAGTTATTTGTAATTTTGAGATTTCTATAACTTAGAGCTTGTACCTCTGTGAGTGAGTGGTCAGGTAATGATGCTGCATAGAGACCAGTCTGGTTGCCAAATGGGCAAAGCAGTCACTGTTTAGATTTGTGCCCAGGGAGGTGAAGGAATGTTCTGAAGGCTGTCCCTTTCCGTCAATAAACTCTGTATTCCATGCCAGAATAGATGCCCCTGTCTGTCATTTGCCTTCTCTGTCGCACAGCTATTGCTCCCATGCTCTTCTCCAGCTGTAAGGGATGTGGAACGATGATGGTCACTCTTACCTCATCCCCTGAAGGGTCAACACGAGAATGACAAGTAGTTGACAAACAACAGAGTGACTGCCTCAGAGCCTGAGCGTCCTCTCTGTCCCATGGGGGCTATCATTAGTTACAGCACAGCTAAATGTCTTAACATGAAAGCCTGCTCTAAAGCAGTGTGTCTGAACACATGCTTGTGATTGTTAGTGTTCGATGAAAAGACCAGAGTCAGAAGGTAGGTTGCTGGTATTTAAACTGCAACTGCATTGTCCAGGCACGGTTGTCTGAGTGCCTGCTGTTTGTCTGCAAAGCTCAAGGCCATGCATGAAACCCAGGAAGGCAGAAGGTTATAAAGCTCATTGCATAGTAAGCTTAATTTTGTGTGTTCTAAAACACAGGATATTCAGATGATATTAAACAACTTATAAATGACATTGTATCACCTTAAAATTTAGACTTTTGCATATTTTGAGAGGGAGGCAATATAATCTTGTTAAAATAGCTACCATTGTATACCCTGGATCTCATTTGAATTGTTCATCTAAAAACCATTGAATATGCTAGTTAACTTCTAGAGATATTTCCATCTCTGAAACACAACCAATGTTTACCCCATGGGATGTTTTGAACTGTTAAGTGAACCTTCACACATGTGCACACACATGAGGTGGTAGGAGGGCAGATAGCATGTTATGACAATTTTGTTGTATAAAAACCAGAGTATAACCAGCCTGGTCTACAAGAGCTAGTTCCAGGACAGGCTCCAAAACCACAGAGAAACCCTGTCTCGAAAAACAAAACAAAACAAAAAAAAAAAACAGAGTATAATTAATCACGCACCCAAGCTACCATATTTGTACACATAATCTACATGCATTTGCACATGCATGTAGACATATATCAAAATGCATGTATATTATAGTCCATTTCTTCTAGGATCATTTGAATAAGATAGCATGAGATTAAAGTGCTGGAAATATAATACAATTAAGAGTCATTGTAAACCTCAGGTATATAAAGCTGTGCCTGAAATAACACAGTAAAATACTGTTTTATAATAAACTTTCTTTTCATATAAGAAGTAAGTATTAAAATAATATAAAATATATAATACAACATACACTAGCTATTTATCATCATTTATTATTGGGTATTGTGTCTGCATATTGCGCACAATGTACTTTTACATGACCAGTAGTACAGTTGAGCTGAATGCATTTCATCGTTACAAATAAACTTACCACTATGAAACACAACTATTATGTACACCATTGCGTAAAGTAGTTATGATGGCTAAAAACAACTAGGCAATGGGGATTTTTTCCAACTTCAGTATAATCTTCTGGGACCACCATTCTATGTGGGCATCTAAAAGATGACTGTATATATAATTTGTTCATGAGTGTGTGTGTGTGTGTGTGTGCACTGTATCAAGTGCTAGGCTCATAATCAGGTATTGATACGGTAGCTCATGTTGTGGAATATAAGTTACACGACAACACTTTGAAGAGGGCAGTCATTGCCCTAATTCAACCAGTTTGCAATTTGAAGCTTTGGAGACTTCTATAATTTTCTTAATATCATGACCCTAATTACCGGAAGAGACTGTGCAGAGCTGAGTCACAGGCAAGAAGTGATGGTTCTAATAAGGACCAACAGTTGTAAGCTTTATTGGTTGCTATGGAACTTTACAGATAATGAATACCAACCTGAAGCCATCATGTTTCAAAATGAGGGTTTTTTTTGTTTTTTTTTTTTAAGTTCTAAAGCATAGGGTTTGTTGTTTCCTTTTTTTTTTTTTTTTTTTTTTTTTTTTTTTTTTTTTTTTTTAGTGAAAAAGGAGTGTGAATGAGATCGGGGATGATCAGGATGCTGTGGAACTACAGGCTCACCAAGTATTATTTTGGATATTTGAGCATCAGGGAAAAGAATGAGATGGCAGAAACTTTGACTTCATTCAGCAAAGTCTCGTATTTATTGAATATCTTGAAGTCAAAGGTAAAGACTCAGAGTGGAGGATGATGGACTAGAGGGATATATGGCAAACTAGAGACTGGCTAACTGGAGGCCTGTAAGACTAACTATCAGCCTGTAAGACTAACTAGAGACTGGCTAACTGGAGGCCTATAAGACTAACTATCAGTCTATAAGACTAACTAGAGACCGGCTAACTAGAGACTGGCTAACTGGAGGCCTGTAAGACTAACTATCAGCCTATAAGACTAACTAGAGACTGGCTAACTAGAGGCCTATAAGACTAACTATCAGCCTGTAAGACTAACTAGAGACTGGCTAACTGGAGGCCTATAAGACTAACTATCAGCCTGTAAGACTAACTAGAGACTGGCTAACTGGAGGCCTCTAAAGGAGAGACATCTGACGAGGGCACAGATGAAGCCATCCCCTCTGTCCTAGAAGACGGGCGACTAGGTAGGTAGGTGAGTGTGGAGATGACTCTTTGGAGAGACCAGGAAATGGAGCCTATCATAACCTGCTTTTGACAACAGAAGAATTAAGTTGTGCTGTAGCTTGAGAAGGTTTGTCACCAAAATAGACGGGAGTCTGTCAGATCATCTGAAATGGATTTAAAAAGTGATGCCCATTAAACAAAGCTCCAGCACAATTAGCACCTTGCTGCACATTTTTCTCAAAGTCCACATGACACGGAGTGACTTTATGAATGCTGAATGAGTACACCTGTGACATCTGCCAGGCATATCCCTCCGTGAGGGAGTACCAAGGTTTGGAAAAGAGTCATGCGTTCCAGAAACACCTGCTAGTTTCCTCGGAAAAGTCAAGTTTTAAACAAAATATGGATTTAGTAGGTGTGGAGAACAAAAATAATTGTGCAGGCTATGGCTAGAAGGCAAATGACAAAATGGATTTCTCAAGGGTGGGGCCGAGTTCATGACCTTCTGGGTGTTTACAAAATTAAAGCCGAGGAGGATGGGTGGAGATAAATTATGAGGGGGAGTGAGGTCAAGGGATCAGGTGGGGGCTAGTTTGGGATTTGGAAACTACTCCTGGGGAGAGGGAATTTTCACGTTGAACAGTGAACCACACACTTGGGGGGGCACAGTTCCGGGGTGGGCAAGCAGCCCATTTCAGGCCAAAGGCAGTCTGCTCATTAGCGTGTATGTTCTTTCAAAGCAGGAGCCTTGAACTGTGTGTGAGGACCATGATTGTGGGTCCCTACAGTGGGAAAAAAGGGTAAAGATCAATGCAGAAAATGTGTAAACAAAGACAAAAGCTTGGGAGTCTTGCATATTTTCCCAACTAGATTTGGGCTGCCACAAGAAAGAAGAGGCTGGCTCATTACAGGCGTATACTGGAATAATGGTTGAACGAGGTGCTCCTGGGTCAGCTCCTGGGAGTGACATGAGGGAAACTGCATCACAAATGGGCATAATCCAGGCACAGAACAGTATCTATAGGAGCAGACTATGAGAAGAAAACTAATATATTAAATAATTATTATGTATTGAACCTGTACTCTCTGGATTTGAATTGGTTCCCTTAAAACTTAAAACCATCTTATGGGAGAGGCAGGATAGTCACTTTGTTTCAGCTGAGATTAAAAAAAAAAACCCAAAGGCTTAAAAGGTAGCAATTTGAACCAAAGGATGATACATTTTAATTCCTCTAATGGGGTGATTTTAAGTGTATAACAAAGAGGTGGCTTGGGAGTACACTGAAATAGTAGAAGTAAAGTGGACAGAGCAAAAGTAGTCAGGAGGAGAGCTGGCCCTGTAAATGACCGGCAGAAAAGGGCTGGAGTATGCAGCAGAGTGTGTGCAGTTCCTCACAAGCGATGATCTGCAAGGAGGGAGGGTCCCAGTTTGAGAAGTCCCTGAACCAATGCTGCCTGCCCTGTCCCATACTCCTATATGTGTAAAGAACAAAATAAAGGCTCTTAGTTCCTTGAGTTTTCTGCTTCCTCCACTTCTCCTGATTACCATTAAAATCCATCCTTAGGGGCTGAATATGTAACTCAAGAGTGAAGCAATTGCCTATCACACATGAAATTCTGAGTTCCATGCCCAGCACTAAACAGAAGAAAATTACACTCCAGAAAATTAAGATGTGAAATGAAGAATGGGGCTAAAGGATGGAGCAATGAAGGGGAAGCTGGTATTCTGTTCTTTATTCCATTCTCCCTTCTCATTGCTGTATCCACACCTGTCCCCAACCCCTAGAGCTCCTTCCCTTTGACACATTTGGGTATTATGCCTTTTGAAGCATACCACTAATACCTCAAG